CAGCCATTGATTAAATGCAACAATTATGTCGAAAAAATTTCTACAAAAGTGTCGCATTAAAGGCCACAAAGTGTGGCTTTCAAGTCTACATTTTATGTAGCCTTACGAATGCAACACTGAGTGTGGCTTTTAAAGCCACATAGTGTTGGTGTAGCCGGCGTCGACACTCATTGTTGTATTCTACGCGACATAATGTAGCCTACGGCTCAACACTATTTTTAAGCGTGTACCATTAAAACTTCCAGATATTCTATTAGACAAAGTTAGACTAAGTCGACCGTTCTTAAATAAATTTCTCGGGGTATTAATAGATGAACATATTAGCTGGAAAGACCACATTAATATATTAAAAAACAAAATATCTAAATATATTGGAATTCCAGATATATTTTAAATAATGCATACCTTAAAAGTTTTTATTTTGCATATATACATAGCTATATTAACTAATGCAATATTGTCTGGGCTAGTACCTACCAACCAAAACTAGATTTAATATATAAATATGGCAAATAAAAATGCCAGTTCTAAACATTTAATGAGGGAACTGAGAGTTATTTACGTTAGGGAACTGAGAAGGGAACTGAGAGATATCTACGAAAAAAATATATTCTGTATTCTTCAGTTCATGTTTAAACTCAAAAATGATCTGGCTCCTGAAGTCTTTCATAACTTTTTTCACCTTATTAATCACAAATATCAAACAAAATACTCTATCAAGAATTACAATATTCCGAAAACTTCTTTAAGACAATCTAAATTCTCAATATCCAGCAGAGGACCCCAATTGTGGAATCTATTTCTAACAAACAAAATAAAAACGATAAACTCATTCCAACATTTTAAATGCGTTGTAAAGCAACAGCTACTAGACCTCAACATTAATGAAACAATCTCTTATTTTAAAAATTTTTCTTTTTTTAATTTTAATTTTTTTATTTTTCACTTTTTCTTGAAATTCTATTATATTACTTGCTTGGTTATTTAATGAAGTTTATTGTAAAAAAAAAAAAAAAAAAAAAATCACATGTACTATAAATATTTTATTATATTTGTATTTGGTTTATATTTTGTTATATTTTGTCAACGTCAAAAATGGGGCAAGATGATAAGACTATTGTCTTCTACTCAGGGCCGGCGCTAGTATATTTTGGTTTTTGAGATAGCTAACTTCCAGACATGAAGCAAACTCCAAACATATATATATTTATACTCATGTCAAATAAGGATGCTTTGCAAAAAGTTGCGATAATTGGAGCTTGGAAACAACATAGCCCCAAAATTTTTGCCTAGTTTGCCCCAAACGTGAGAGCAACAAGTTGATAAAATATTTTTTGTACTATTTTCAACTAGACTAATATTCATCGATAAATTTTAAGTTTTATAGTATAATTTCTTAGTGTTCAAAAATTATAACAATATAAAATTTGCAACCCCCTCAAAGTGAGGGGTGTTTAAACAATATATAGTCATAATTTTTGAACGCTAAAGTATTTTACTATGAAACTTAAAATTTATCGATGAATATTAGTCTAGTTAAAAATAGTACAAAAATATTTTATCAACTTATTGCTCTCACGTTTGGGGCAAACTATGCAAAAATTTTGGGGCTATGTTGTTTCCAAGCTCCAATTATCGCAATTTTTTGCAAAGCATCCTTATTTGATATAAGTATAAATATATATATGTTTAGAGTTTGCTCCATGTTTGGAAGTTAGCTATCTCAAAAACCAAAAAATACTTGCGCCGGTCCTGCTTCTACTTGCTCCAGTCATATATTTCATGGTAAAATGTTGTACAAATTTATATTATTAATGACGAATAAAAATATAAATAAAAAAAAAATTGACAAGTACCATTTTGAGCGGACAAAACAAGTGCAACTTTTTTGGTTTGTTTCATTTTCTTAAGTCTGGTCCGTGTCAACATCATGGAAGTTTTTTAATAATTAAAGGAAGTATATAGAAGTTTGCTGAAGCATGCAGAAGCTTCCAAAAGTTTCCAGAAGAAGCATCTGGAAGCATCCAGAAGCATCCAGAAACATTCAGAAGCATCCAGAAGCTTCCAGAAGCATCGAAAAGAAGCATCTAGAATCTTTCAGAAGAGATTCACACAGGTTCATTTTACTATATAAGAGACATGTAAACCGACATGTAATTCAGTCAGTATATGGAAGTCAATCAGTCAGTATTATCAAGAAAGTTTATCGAAGTGAGTTTTATCAAAGTGTTTTATCGAAGAACATCAATACAAGAAGTGAAATACAACAAGTGTTTCATTACATCAATACAGTCCACATCCAACGAAGACGTTATGTTCCACAGACCATTATTGTAACATCACAAGGTAAATGCCTTGAAAAGCGTGATTATTTATTTTTATTATTTTTATAACTTCAAGTGCAAAAATGGCTCCCGACAGTCTTGGATTGGAACTAAGAAAGAAAATTATTGGCGATTACGTAAGTGGAATGTCACAAAAAAGTATTTGTGATAAATATCGCGTAAAAAATGGACCGTATCAAGACTATGTTCCAAATATCGTTCTACGGGGAAGATAACAGCAGATAACAAAGGTGGAAGACCGCGTTCCACCACTTCTAGAGAGGATTCTATGATCGTTAGATCAGTCAAAAAAGATCCCTGGATATCATCAGTCGAGATACAAAAGCAATTAGAGTTGCTTGTATCGGACCGAACAATTAGACGACATGCTGTTGAAGCCGAATTGTTTTCTCGACACCCTGCAAAGAAAACGCTGGTTTCACCAGAAGAACCAGAAGAAAAGAATCCTGTTTGCAACATCTCATATTGATTGGAATGTGCAGAAATGGCCAACTATCCTGTTCAGTGATGAATCGAAGTTCAACATCATTGGGAGTGATGGCATTTGCCGTGTACGCCGACCGGCTGGAAAACGCCTCGATTTACGTTACTGCCATAAGACCGTGAAGCATGGTAGAGGCAATGTAATGGTCTGGGGGTGTTTTTCTGCGAACTGTCTAGGTCCATTACATCAAAACAATGGAAAAATGGACCGTTTCATGTATAAAATCATCCTGAAAGATGTTATGTTACCTCATGCTGAAGGGAATATGACAACAAAATAGGTTTTTCAGCAAGACAACGATCCGAAACACACTGAAAAAGTAGTCAACTAGTGGTTTCAAGACAACCATCTATCGGTAATGGATTGGCTGCCTCAATCTCCGGATCTCAACCCTATCGAAAACCTGTGGGAGATCGTCAACCGCAGAATTAATCGTGAAGGTGTTTGTAATAAGGATCAACTGTTTGAACAAATCCAAAAGGCCTGGGCAGCAATTCCGTAAAGTTTCATTGATCACCTGATCGAATCTATGCCTCAAAAATGCAAGGCTATGATTGACAACAAAGGATTTGCCACAAAATATTGGTAGCGAAATACAGCTTGGTTAACATTTTGTGGAGTTGCACTTGTTTTGTTTAGGAGGAAATCAACTTTTTTTAGTACTTTTGATTAATTTATTACTTTTCGTGTACAAATAATGAACTTTTGATGAATAAAACTTGAAGAACGTTGTCTCTAAACAGTTACATAGTTATTTCTCTAAATTGAAAAATGCAGCAATTTTATATAAAGAAACTAAATTAGCATTATTTGGTTCACTTGTTTTGTCCGACACTGTATATATATATATATATATATATATATATATATATATATATATATATATATATATATATATATATCTAACATTGATAAATAAAATATCAAATTTAGTTATTCCGCAATAGTGGAACAAAAATATGTTGCATTTTACCCCGCACCGGGGCGAATTGCAACAGTGCAGAGGGCAAGTTGCAACACAATACTTTTAAAGTATAAGCTTTGCAGAGTTCACATAAAAATTACTAGTTAATCTGTAATTTCTATTTGGCAACAAAACATTATAGTTAAAATAAGAGAAAAGTAGTATTTTAGACTTGACATGTACCTGATATGTTTAGTAAACTAATGCTTACATTCAAAGACTTTAAAAACTGAAGAAAGAAAATAATGAGGATTATTATTTAAGCTCATATATTATTTAAACTTTTAAGTGTTTTTTTAAAAAAGTATTCCTTTAGTTATTCAGTAAACATTAAATCAATTTATAAAAACGCAAGAGTAGTTTTATAAATAATATAAAACACAACTTTCATAAAAATAAATAATAATCTAACTTTGATAACAAAAAAAAAAAATTTCCAAGCAATAAAGGCTCATAAAAAAACTAACTAGCATTAAAGAAACTAATGAGTTTCATTACATTTCAAGTCAACAATTATATTTTTTTATTGTTTTTTTTTTTTGATGCAGAAATACTAGCAGATTTTCGCTTTCTAGAACTAATTTCTTTTTCAGCCATAAGACGCTGTTTTACTGGTGTATCTGTGAGTATTTCTGTATGCTTTCTCTTTGATCTAGTGAATATTTTTTTCCTGGGTCGTACTTTTGGTACACTGTAAAAAAACTCCGTTGTATTTACCAGACTTTTTCCGTTGTTCAGTAACGGAAAAAAGCCGTTTCCAATAAATTACGGTCTTTTACCGTACTTTTAGGCCTTTTTAAATATTTTATATGTTTTTGTCCGTATTTATGATAAGAAGAAGTAAATTACGGACTTTTACCGTATATCTTAGTATACTTAAGTATTATCTCTAATTTACTGAGCGCCATTTTTTTTTTCACGAGAAGATATTACACATTGTAATTTCAAATATGAAGAAATTACACAAATTATAATTTCAAAGTTAGATATCTTAATTTATTTATATATTTTTTAATGGAACTTAAATGCTACATGTTTTTCAAGAAGTACGTTCACATAAAATTCTAATTAATTTTGATAATCTAGTTATATATATATATATATATATATATATATATATATATATATATATATATATATATATATATATATATATATATATATATATATATATATATATATATATATATCTCCTAGCCACGAAATTTACGAAACATCTACGCAGAATCAATTTATGTTCTTACTTAAAAATATATATAATAAATGTTGTTATGTAATATAGTAATTTATTTATTTAATTCAAATAGTTAGGAAGAATTAGATGTACAATTGTAAACAGTGTGATTTTGCTCTACCTACTATTAATGCGTACATTAATCACTGTCGTTTACATTCTATGGAACCAAGATTCAGGGTTGCATGCTGTGTTTCTGGATGTTTTTAAAGCTTTTCTACTTTTTGGAATTTAAAAAAACATATCTACCGCAATCATGGTCAAAATAAGTTTAATGCAAAATTAACTTCTTTAAATAATAAAGTTATTTCATTGTCTTGCCAAGTTCCTATGTGTGGTGCGAAATGCAAGGATCAGACTGCATTGTTTATTCATTTAAATTACCATATTAGGGATGGTACAGCAATTCAATGCCCAATATGACAAGCATATTGGGTGGCTGCAAGATCATCACAATTTGCCCTCTTCGTTGTGGAATGTTTATGAAATAGAAAGGCTACATTCTTTAACTTATCCTTCACAGCGCGCTGATATAGTCGGATTAAATGCACTGAAAATAGTATCGTTAGTGGCTAAATGGCCATTTTTATTTAAAGCCAATTGGTTTTTACATCATTTTAAAACATTAACTGGAGTTGACATAGCTTTTATATTTGAAGAAAATCTTAAAATTAAATCTACCATAATTGTCAAATTTTTGCAACACCAAAAAGAAATGCAATTAGCCATAAATGAAATGATATTAGCTGGGCAAGGTAATGTGTTAGCACCACTTGTTGCTGCAATTTTGGGCATTTGCCAGTTTTTTAAAGAATCTTCCAAGTTTTTGTTTCATCAGACTATGGTAAATATTTTTTCCATTGATTTTTTAAATTTTATCTTCCTTGATTGAAAAAGTTAATACAGTTTAATATATTTTGTGCATATTTTATCAGTAATATTTTATCAGTAATATATTTATGTGATGTTTTAATACTTGTAGGAGCATGCAAATGTGGATGATATTGAAAAGGACATTACTCTTCCACTTTCTCCTTGTATTAGTTTTGCTGGTAACATATCACTTTTGCTACTAATTGTTTAATAAATTTATTGAATTTATTTATAGATTTAGATTTTGTTTTCTTATTGTTAGGAAATTCCACATTGCTATGCTTGTTTTTCTAAAAAGAAAAATTGAGAATTTTTGAATTTTTTTTGCCCATATAGGAACTTGCATATTCAAGTGTAATAGTTTTTACTTGGTTGTTGATCGGCAAATGCAAATCCTCTTTTGGCATTGGTTGTTCTTTTTGCTGCATATTATGTGTTAAATGTTGGCTATCCAGTAGAGATTGCTGCAACCCTTGAGTTTTTGCAGAGGTAAGTCATAAGATAATGTTTATTGACATTTGTTTATATAAATCTTTTTCATTACCTAACCTGCATTGTATTCTCTAACTTTATCTACTTCTACCCTTCCCTTTTCTTCTAAGTCACTGCATCCTGATAATCTACTCTATGCTCTACATGTTCGCTTTACATACAATTTTTAAATATTTTTAAAATTACTTTCTTTTTCTTTTTTTTACTGTAAATAATGATTTATTAATCTTATCTAATTATTATGTAGATGTATTGTAAAAATAAACCCTGAAAAAGGAAACAAAATCGAAAAGAAGATTGGTAAAAAGCAGTATGTCGGACCTCACCCTCCAGTAAAAAAAATGTAGTGCAGATACGCGGTATTATCCAATGCTAGTGACGCGGTCATGCACTATCTCTGACGATATATTAAAGTAAATTTTAGCTTTTCTTTAATTTTGTTTCGTTAAAAAAAAAAATTTTTAGTCTTAAATTGTTTTCTGCATCATACTTTAGTTTTTGTTTCAACATTCACTTTGATTTTACTTATTTCTAAATAAGTAAAATCAAATTGAATGCAGAAACAAAACTTTGATTTTTAAAACCTTAGAAAGATTTTACGGAATACAAAATTTTTCATCTATTTTTTAAAATTTAAACCTTGTCAAAAATATTGTTTAATTTTTTAATCTTGTTTAAACCGAAATAAAAAAAATTTTCGTTTAGTTGTATTATTTTTTATAAACCAATTATAAACTTAAAAAATTTTTACAAATGTTTAATAACTTTTTTATAAACTATAAACTTGGTTCAAAAACATTCTTCTCGTATTCTTCTAGTTTAAACTATAAATTTGGTTTAAATACATTCTGATCGTACTCTTCTAACATATTTCCAGCTATAAAGTAGTTGCAAACGACATAAACTTTATTTCCATTGTAACTTTTACCACATCCCAGTTGCAATGAAGAATTCCACACCATCTTCTCATAAATTAAAGAAATAAGTCAGAAAAAAAAATTTATTCAAAAAATATTTTAACTAGGTAATTAGTTTAAAAGAACTTGAATTAAGCAATACAAAGTTAAAAAAATTAAACAAACTTATAATTAAACAAACTCATAATTAAACAAACTTAAACAAAAAAAATTAAGCAATACAAAATAAAATTATGAAAAACTTAAGAATAAACAACAAATAAAGTGAGTTTAAAACTCACTTGAGTAAAATGTGCAGTAACGGCATTTGGTGATTTTGGAGAATTAGACGCGAAACTCCAATCTGAAATCTCGTTATACCAACTATCAGCAGCGTCCATACCACTTGGAAGCAAAACCGAATCGTAAGAATAGTAAATATTTTCTCCTCGGTTTAAAGAAAATAAGTTTTCTCTATGTTCAAATAAATTATTCATTGCTAAGTAATCCGCCCATTCCTGTGCAAATGCATTTAATGAAGTACTTAACGTCATAGGATGAGAATTGTGCAACAATCGGTACTTATTATGCTGAACAAGCATTTTCTGGGGGAAATCGTACAAATTGTCATCATTTAAAAGCACAGTGTTTAAGCAAACTAATAGCAGTACAACCAAAACAATTTGATTCATTTTTAATCAATATAAATAATTGGTTAAAATGAACAAGACTATTTTAGCAACTTCAACCACTGATTTAATCAAAATTTAATTTAATTTATTGATATATATTTCAATAAATACTAGATATTATAAACCCAAAGGCTCGTTCTAGTTAATTTATATTCTGACTATGTACCCAACTTACCGACCAACCTAGTACCCAACTTTGTAAAAAAAAATTACATTAGAGTAATTTCTAAGAACGGATTTTAAGCATGACGCAAAAAGTAAAAACACACTAAATTTGTTTTTTTTTTTAATTTTTTCTTGTAGTTTTTCACATGAAGTTTTACTTTAAAGCTTCTTTTATAAAGTTTTTTGTATAATCTTCTACATCCTTAAGGAATCATCGTAAAAATGAATAAAAATTCTAATATAAATAAAAAACAATAACAAAGAAAAATAAAAATTAAAAAAAAGCGGTTGTTATAAGATTCAGGAAGAAAAATCAAAAACAGATTGAAGTGATGGCGAAGTAATGGAAAAAAGCATATACTACTGATACTTATATGGTTTTGCAGATTTACTGTTAATGATATCAATAATAGTTTATATATATATATATATATATATATATATATATATATATATATATATATATATATATATATATATATATTAGGGTAAGGTTAATATTTCTAAATTAGCGTTAAATTAGGGTGGGGTGATTATTCCGTATTTTGAAAAGTTCTCCTGTTACATCCCTAGGCTTTTTCTATATAGTAAAACAAATCTGGATTTAAATTTATGAATAAAAATAATAATATAAAAAAACTTTCTTTGAAAGTATTTTTGTCAGGTCAAAAGAAATTTTATAAAAAATAGCTCTAAAAATAGTAATCATGTTTTATAATAAAATTTATCTTAAAGATAACTTAAAAATGCAACTTTTTTTTTAAATAGAAAACGATAAAAAAAGTTTTTATGCAATAAAATCGAAAATAGCGATAACGATGATTTATTTTTTTTAATGTTAAATAATATATAATAAATATTGATGATTTCATTATTTAACTTAAGTAATATATATAAAGGTATAACATTTAATTGAGTTAAATAATGAAATTATCAATAATTATTTCTTTTAAAGATTTTTTTGTTGTTGTTGCATTCCTATAAATTTTACTTATAAAAACTACTTTACAAAACTTTGTAACTTTATAAATTTTTACGTTTTATATAGATGTTCTTATGTTGATACTAATATTTCTATAGATTTCTAACGGAGATACTAATATTTCTAACTATAGACAGATTTTCATTCTTCCTTGTTTCTCGAAAATACTAGAACGCATTATGTATAACAAATTATATCCATTTTTAGAAAAAATAATATTCTTTATAACAAACAATTTTACTTCAAACAAGGCACTCTACTGATCATGTAATTTTTTATCTCATTCAGATTATTTTTTATGGTTTTGACAAAAATAAACTCACTTTAGGTGTTTTCATAGTAAGGGGTTCGACACTGGATAATAGTATTTTAATTAAAAAATTAGAAAACTACGGTATCAAAAATATAAACATAGCTTAAAGCTACTTATCGAATAAAACTACGGTATCAAAACTACGGTATCAAAAAAACTACGGTATCAAAAATATAAACATAGCTTAAATCTACTTATCGAATAAAAAACAATATATTTCATTCGGCAATGAAAAAACTAACAATATAATACTTGCGGCGTTCCTCAAGGATCTATATTAGGAGCACTTTTATTTTTAATTTATATTAATGATTTAAGCAAAGCTTCTAATATTCAAGACTCTATCTTATTTGCTGATGACACAAACTAATTTTATTTTATTTTATTATTTTTTATTTTTTTTTTAATGTTGATTTTAGGTGCCCCAAAAAGTCCTTACGGTCTTATCACAGAGCACCGCGGAAGAGCATTTAATAGGAAGTTCACGCCTCCTTCCCAACCGATACCGCAAAACTTGCCTAGAGGTGGGGTTCGAACCAAGGATTTTATGTTTCTGAGACAAGTGTGCTACTACTGCGCCACGGCTGCTCATAGTGATATAACAACAGAAAAATAAAAAAACGGTCAACATTGAACTTTTACAACTAACCGAATGGTAAAATATGAATATTTTTTCTTTCAACTAATTTTTTTCTTTCAATTAATTTAACTAAAACTAAGTATACTATTTTTCATCGCCTCCATAAAAAAGATAAAATCCCTCTTGCACTTCCAAAACTTATTATTGGAGAATACATCGTAAAAAGAAAATGTTCAATCAAATTTTTAGGTACAATCCTAGATGAAAACATAAATTTGAAAGACCACACAAACATGATTGAAAATAAAATTTCTAAAAATATTGGATTACTCTATAAAGCAAAACCATACTTAAATCAATTATGTTTGAAATACATATATTACTCATTTATTCATTCCTATCTTAATT